TGTGAAGTAGGTAAAAGCTGAGTGGACAAAGGGGAAAAAACGAGACATCAAAGGCAAACAATTTACTCAGGCAGGCAAACGAAGTAACGTAATGGTTTACCCGCTTTATATGCTCGCTCGTTTGCGTTTCCCGGATTTTCCCTACCCTCCGCCCTTGGATGCTACCTAGTATGTATGCAGACAAAGGCACCAAAATGGAAAAATATGAACATTCTACTTGAAATGTTTCCAAAATTATTAAAAAAACACAATTATGATATTTTTCGAGTGAGAATGATATATTTATGCTATAAAACTACACACCAAGCATTGCTCTACATATAAATGTGATTAAAAAGTTTAAAACTTTGTTGAAATTTTCAAATTTTTTTACAAAGTATGAAACTTGCTTGGACTTGTATGGTCTGTCTCTCATGTACACTTAGGTCTTTTTTATGCGGTAGATGCGTTCTTCAGAAAGCCACATAAAAAAGTTCTTTAATTTCATACAAGAACAGGAGATGCGTTCCAGCATTTTCAAAACCCGCATAAATTCAGATACTTCAAAAAAAAAAAACAATTTATTTCTTCACTTCTGTATTTTAACCAAAACAAAAAATATCATAAAAAATACATGAATTATGTAAGAAAAATTGAATGCAAAAAAGTAATCAAAACTCTCAAAGAAGCAAAATCGATACAGCGAAAAAAATGTTTGAAAAACCTCATAAATTCAAATCCGCATAAAAAAGAACCACATAAAAAGAGACCTAAGTGTATAAGTTGAAATTTTATAAGCTATTGAAAATTAATAAAACTATACCTACATATACTACGTTTATACGTAAGCTATTTGCAAATAAAAATAATTTGCAAATACCTAACTCACTGTTTATTCGATGGTGAAAAATTCTTTTTTAATATTGCCTGATTATAAAAAGGCAATAATATGACAATCGAAAAAGAAAATAAAGTTAAAAATGGCAACGTCTTGATTATAAAAAGGCAATAGGATGACAATCGAAAAAGAAAATAAACCTAAGAATGGCGGCGTCTTGCGCTTATTTGCAAATAGTTGCACTAATCAATACTTATTTGCGTGATTTAGTTATTTGCAAATAAAAAGTTAACTCAGCGTTTATACGGCAAATTTTACCATTTTGCAAATTGTTATTTGCGAATAATACGTGCGTATAAGTACATAGTAATATATATGTATGCACATATGAGCCTACCTAGTAGATAAAACTGGCAAAAATAGCACGCATCTATTCTTCTGTGCATGAAAATATATACATAAATAAATACATACATATGTGTATATATGTATGTATATACATATCTACATGTGTGCATACAATCGTTTGCTCTAAATTCTTAGTTGATGCAATTTTTCTGACCAAACAACCCGTTTGCCTGTCTAATCTGCTTGCCTCATTTCCCTCGCTCGTTTACTCGCCTCGCTCGTCTGCTGCTGCAAATGAGTGCCTCGCTCGCAACGCCCCTCTCGCGAGGGCAGAGCTAATGAGGCCCTCGTTTGCTTGCCGCTCTACTCTTGCGCCGCCCTCGTTTGCTTACTCGCTCGCTGGCTACTCATCGCGTGCGCTCGTACCTAACGAGTGCTCATTTGCAAACAGCCTCGCGTGTTCCTCGGGAGTTGCGCTAACTCAGAGCAAACTAACGAGCGAGCGAGGGGCCAAAATGAGGCAAATCCGAACCCTGGTCCTATTATAGGCTACCAGAAAACTCGCTAGATACCGCTGGGGTTATTTATAAAAGTCGTATTTATCATCGTTCAAATTCAAAAAGTGTGCTAACTCCATGATCTGGACGTATGCGACAAATTGATCCGCTAGGTGGCGCTGGAGTTATTTATAAAAGTCGTATTTATGAACCGATTTCGTTCAAATTCCAAGTATAAGCTACCTGCATGATGCAAAAAGCATTTGCGAAAAACGGAACCGATAAAAGCCGTATTTATGAACCGATTTTGTTAATACAAATTCGAACGTTTATTACTTTCATGATTCTTTTTTTTCATTCGAAACATATATGTACATATATGCATAAAATGATAGCCGTTTCCGTTGTTCGGACTTAACTGAAAAACCAGTCAAATTGTCGGAGGTTATACCTTGCATATATGGACCTATTATAGCCTACTAGACAACACGCTGGTGGCGCTGGAGTAGAGATACTTATAAAAGTCGTATTTATTAACCGATTTCGTTCAAATTCGCAAAGTGTATGATGAAAAATTCGTTTCCTAAAAATGAACCCGCTATATTTTATAAAATCTGATTGAAATTCATAATGCGTATTCATTTCGTGACAAGCAGTGGTTTTGCAGAACAGGGACCTAATGGATTGCACTGCAGTCGAAATATATAGAAACCCACACGGGGTTTGGTCTGCTTTGGCCCTATATTCATCTTAAACAAATTTACTTTTCATATGGCTAAATGGAGGATGCGTTGAAGTATGCATGTAAAGACCGCAACATTGTGTAAAGGTGTTCTTACACGATATGTATTTGCATGTGTGCATGCCACTTTTTACACATGGAAATGCCAACATATCATGTAAAGGCAAATTAGATTTGTTTCTGTACAAAGCAGATGCGCGTACATACGAAATAGAAATGTTGCTATTTTCATCTGACACACATATAGAATCATCTGGGCTTGGTTTTTTCGTTTTCAAAGAACGTACTTTTAAATACTTAAATAAATACTGTGAATTTGACAGGCAGATGCATTTGCATATGTTCGAAAAAGACACACTTGCAGATGCAAATACATATCGTGTGAGAACACTTTAAGCGCGCCTTTGCCTGCTGCCCTCATACACCCTAAATGCGATCTTGCACCTACCTCCGATTGACGAAAATGATCTGATCAATGTTGAAGTTGCAAGATCATAGAAGAATATTACGCACGCTTGGCAGAGATCTCATAGGTATAAATAAGACCATCGGTAAAACTCATGACATCGAAAGGGATTAGTATTCCATATGGTATCACAGCGCTACTATTCTTGGCCTATGTGTGAGGAGGATTCTGCTCTTTGGTCGTTTCAATTTAAACTAAAGATATTTACTTTAGAAATATAAATAATATTTCCTGCAAACACACATCGATTTACATCTTTTATCTCGCCTCCGACACAGAATTGTTTTCGTACAAAATTACGCAAAAAAGCTTACTCGTTCGTTTTTAGACATGCCATTGTTACAAATTTCGAAAATACGATTCGGATTGCAGCATACTATTTCTACGATTCGTAGCAAAATCCGAATACGAAAGAGTTGCAGAATAGGGGTGTATGTTACGTTTCGGCGCCATGTTACCAATACGAAATCAAAGCGTTAATCTTGAAACGTTAACGTTAATTTCACACTGTGCTGGCAACGCTTTAACAAAACATGATGATTTGCCTCTCACTCAAAATTTCCTGCAATCGTATTCACTTGTCACATAGCTGACTGCCAGCGTTGCCGCGAGCTTGAAAAAAAGTATCTGTTGCCGAGCAGAAAAAGTATCAAAAGCAAAAAAACGGTTGTTTGTTAAACTTTTATTTGAAAAAAATAAATAAAATTTTATAATTAAATCCATAGTTACAAAAAAAATGTATATTGCTTGCTTTAACAAAATCAGAGAATCTGTATGCTTATTTGCATAACGAAAAACAAACTTATATCAAGAAAATATGTACAAGAATGCGCTGTGAATATTTTGATAGTTTCAGCTTTAAAACGCAAAAAAAGAATATTAAACAAAATTTTAATTTTTTCTACGCTCAACCATATTTTAGAGCATGATCTGGACAGCAAAATGTAAACTAGACTAAAAATTGCTTAGTTGTCGCCATACGCAGGACAAATTATATCAAAATGATTTTGATTTTAGCGCAATAACTGTGCAATTTATTACAAACAGCCCCATACACCACACAAACGACCGACGTAAGCCTGATATTGCGCAATGTTTTTGTTTGTTTTTGGGGCCCAGCGGCGTGTGCAAGGAAATTCCGGAAATTGCCTTATAAGAGTTACCAAATCACACTTATAAATATCTATGTATATATAAATTTTAATGGCCTTATTCATAAAAAATAAAGTAGCTTTAAAAAAGGTTTATAAACTGAAAAATATATGAAAACGTCATTTTATAAAGCTCTTTAAACCCATATATGTAATACTCCTATATTGGCAGTAAGAGCTAGTACCGTCCGAAAACACTACAGTACAGATATATCAATAAACACGTACGAAAGAAAAGGAACACATACATACGTTTATAAATAAACATGTGCACAACACATATACAAAAACTGCACTCAAGTACACAATACATTGACAAAAACGGTACTAGACTGTCTCGCTTTGATTTCGGAATGCTTACACATTGAGAAGTTAGCTTACTGCCAATATAGAAGTATTACATATATGTTTAAGTTTAAACCTACTTAATTTTTTATGAATAAGGCCATACGATTTTAAATAACAAGAAATAAATTATTTGCCTTTAAACTAGAAATATCCATGCAGAAAATCTGACTAGCTCAGAGCGAGCGTAGAACTAGATCTTTTGCTGAAAGTACTAGTCCTAGCTCAATACTCAAGCAATGCTTTCAACTGTCCAGTTTTACACGGCGATATCATTGGCGGTGGCAATTGTCGCCCAGTGTATTACTTTGCAACTAGTTTTTAACCGGTTCCGTTTTGGACGCTTTTTTTTAATAAGAAACCGTTTTTAAGATTCGATTCTTGGATATTTTTTTCTTTCCTGTTACTGATTACATTTTTGTTACATATTTTGTTAACAAAAAAAAAATTGTAAGCTGCACGCAACAATTTAAATTCATTAAATTTGAAAACTCACAACTGCCTGTCTTCTTGCTTTTGCACTAGTTCAGATATATGTAATTCGGAACTAGCGCTTTGACAGACGGTCTCAAAATTTTACTGCAGGGCTATTGTAAAACATATGTATGTATGTATGTATAATATATTGACCTACCTTCAACACAATCTCATATGTTGTTAGAATGCAGTTAAATTTCAGTCTTTTCGAGCCATCAAATTGCCATTCGTATTGGCGTATCATTTCACGCGATTTCACATCGCCCAAATATGTCACTACATTCATATCAGGTGCCCAAAGGTCAAATTCACGTTGCCACGCTGTCATAGTGCTTAAAGGTACGACGCACAAATATGGCCCGTATAAGTGATGAACTTTGAATAATGAATACAGAAAGCAGATGGTTTGTATGGTTTTACCGAGACCCATCTCATCGGCAAGTATGACGGAGTTCTCTTTGCACCATGAGTGTAGCAACCAATTTAGTCCGTCCATTTGATAGTCACGCAAAGTTAAACCTTCGGCTAGAAAATCGGGCTGTTCGCGGGTTTTATAGAATTTGGGACGATACTTGAGCACCTTACAATGTCGCGATGGTGTGCACTTGGACATTTCACGGTCTTCAAATTGTTCCACACAACGTAGCCATTTGCGTTTAACTAATACACCATCTTCCCAAGTGGCCTCGGCATATGGTAACGATTGCCACTTACAGAGGTATTCTGACATGCCGTCCGGCTTCTCGTTACGAGCTATAATTCGATCCACATAATTATACGACTTGAGCAAATCATTCTGTAATTCTAATTGGCACTCAAAATAATCGATATCTTCTGGACCAGCGTAACGACGCCAATATTCAATGTCTTGCTCCTTTTTAACGAAGTTATCAAGCTTTTTCATGCCTTTGACCTTTTGCTCGCGCAAAGTTGTTTCGGACTCCCATGTGTTATGTATATATGACCATCCCTTCCATTTAATTAAATACTGGGTTTCAGCGTTTTCTAGGTCGTTCTCATCGACCCCATCATTGGGATCAACTCCCTGTTCCTCTATGGCATAGATTGTTGTTGGATTTCCTGTACAGCCTTTGCGACCTTGACGCCTTGCTAATATCCGCTCGATCGTCTCGCATTTCTCCTCCTCTTCTGCTGCTGCCGCCTGACTTTCGTCATACTCGACCTCTACCAAATCTTCTGAATCTGTTTTTTCATCTTCCGAGGCTTCTTTATAGCTAACCGCCGCAGCAGTTCGTCTTGTTCCAAATCTTAAAATAAAGAGAACATAAGTATTCAGTTTATCTACTTAAATTACATTAGTTTTTCAATTAACTTATATGGTGCTATTATCTTACCGTTTGCTATCTTCCTCGCCATCACTTTCGTCGCTGGAATAAGAGGCTTTTTTCCCGCGACGATGTGATGCTTTCGCTTTCCCGGCCTTTGTGTTTGCCTTTCGTTTTGGCGGCGCTGACATGTCGCTGTCCGCTCCGCTTTCATCGCTTTCGTCTGAGTCCCAACTAAACACAAACAAAATTTGGTCTTAAATTATAGCCATTTGTCTCCTTTTACAAGACTATTTAATTACTTTTGCTTCTTCCGTTTCTTTGCTTGCCTCTGTGCGGTCTTCTCGTTTGATGACGCAGCTGCCGTTTTTCTGGCGGTACGCGTGCTACGTTTCGGCTGATAGTCATCTTCATCGTCCTCGCTACTACTGCTACTGCTGGCAGTTGGTGACTCTGCCTCTGACGAGGAACTTTTATCTGCAGATTCACCCGATTCAGAAGCTTCGGCGTCATCATCTTCACCATCTTCAACAGCAGCATTATCCCCTACATGTTCGGTACTGTGTTTAGCAGCTAAGGTCGACTGAGACACAATCTTCGCAGACATCTTCGCTGTTGGCATTTTACTCGTTATTTTCTTGTTTTGGTCATCAGCGGCTGCTTTCTCGTTGCTATCTGCAGCGCTTGCATTTTCATCTTGCGAATCTTCTTCGCCATCGTTTGTCGCATTTGAGGTATTATTATCTGTTGTTGTGATGTTAGCTGTTGATGCTGATGTGTTATTAGTAAGATTGTGTGTGGAATTTGTAACATTGTGTTCCATTCCCTCCCCAGGATTTTCCCCATTTTCTTCCTCATTGCTGTCTGAATTTGTGTCGGAATTCGAATCGCTGTCAGATTCGTTGTCATCTGAGTATCCGTTAGCTTTCGTGTCTTCTTGAGCTGCCGCAGCTGTAGGTGGAAAACCGGTCGCCGTCGTACCACCTTGTTTTGTTTGTGGTTGTGCTTGACCATCCTGGGCATTGTCACCGCTATCATAACTTTGGTCGCTGGCTCGTGATTCCCGATCAGGGCAGGTATGCCTTCGGCTAGAATTTGAAGATGATGATGAGCTATCTGAATCGGAATCAGATCCTGAGGAACTGCCGCTACCGCTTCCAGAAGCGTTTTGCTCTTCATGGGTATCGTCGTTTTCTTCCGATCCTATGCTATTGAGCGATTCATTGTGTTCCTAATATAAAACAAATTTGATATATAAATAAATGATATATATTAAAGCACTGCAAATATACCAGGAGAAATACTCTTCACATGTGTACATGAGTAAATGGAACATATATTTTAGAGTATTTAAAAATATAGGAACAAAAAAAGAGAACATCATAAATTTGAGGAACTGAGCAATGTTATGGTCCATTTACATGGTATGAAGCCATATTAACTGTTGGTACGCTAAAATAGAGGGACTACATGTTCTAATGAGGAATTCAATGATATCGAGTGGGATGCATATAATAAATTTTTTCAAATGAAAAGTTATGGGGAGATACTGTAAACATACTGGTGTGATACTGTTAAGCATATGAAATTTTAGCAAGTTGAATTTTCATACATCTTCCCATAAAAAGTTTAACAGATGCAGAGATACCAAGGAGGGTTTTTCCCATTTTGATGCCTTTTTAATATAAAAACCAACCGAAAAGGAGGAAAGCGGCAACTCCGCCATTCACATACATGTCAAAAGTATGAATTTTAAAAATTAAAAACAATAAACAAACAAATTCAAAACAAAGAAATTGTTTGTACTAGAACTTTTTGAATAGAAGCAACTCACGTATAGTGGACAATCAAAATACAAAGCACTATGATAACAAACTTAAAGACAAGACATTACAGAACATTTTAATGAGCTTTATATCACATTTAAGTAAAAATAAGCCTATATTTTCCAAGCTGGCAAAGAAAAGAAAATGTGTATTTTTTGTTCTTTACACAAAGACTTGCCAAATATACATATAAGTCAAAATTATAGAAGGCATGTATACTTCTCCCTTTCATTTTTTCATACAATTTATGCTCCTTTCTGGCTTTTACAAAATGCAGTGATACCGCACTTATTTCGGTACAATATGATCGTAATGAATTTTCGATTCGAAATCAAAGAAAAACCTCCCACGAAAATGTTTGCGATTTTAGAACAATTAGTGTATATTTACAAACTACTACAAAGAATGGAGTGTCATATCTTAAAAGGTTCAGAGAAATAACGAAACAAACAAACATTTTATGGTCTTATATTTCTTTCACACCGCATTGCTATTTTTTCTAACTTGTCCTTTTGCTTAGCGCTGTAACCGCTTAAGTTATATCTTTTAATTTATACATGTGAATTATTATCAATGAGCATTTTTTCATTTGCTCCTGAATTTTGGGTTCATTTTCTTATAGTACCTCTCATTCTTTTTTATATTACATATAACATTCGTCGTCTTGTAATCGTTGTGTGCACACGTCGGTTATTAAGCTCGGAGACAATTTACTATACAAATCAGTGCGCGTATACGTGTTCTGCTTCCCCCCAAATTCTTCACTAATACATTTGATTCAATCTGTTAAACATTTAATAACTATAACCAGCTTTTTACTACGGGACCATCGCCCCCGGGCCTCCAAACTTGGGGTACAATAGGTTTGCTCTGTTATCCCCTAGCCCAAAAGTGAAAAAACGTAGAATATACGATAAACTCGAATATCCGGCTTTAACACCAGTGGTAGAGCAATCGCCAAAATTCCTAACTGTGTCGGCAAGTGAACAATTGAAACCGTTGTCAGATTGCTCTTGCTTTGTAGTTAACAGAGCTTTGCATGCGATAAGCAAAGAGACAATTAAAATACAGCCAACAAGAGACGGTAACCTACTAGTGCTAGTGAAATCCAAATTGATAGCGTATCGGTTTGTCCGCACACAAATTGTTCAGACAACCATCCCTCTTACTCCAGAGAATGTCCGAAGTATAAGCAGCAGAAAGATATACTAAAAATAAAAA